CCCCAAAACCCCAAAACCCCAAAACCCCAAAACCCCAAAACCCCAGATGGTACGTACGCGGCTGAAAGTTGATAAACGGGCAATTTTTTGTTTGTCATCGATATTAAATAATTTAATGGAAGTATACACAAAATATTGTGATGAAGATTGTGGTGAAGAGGCCCAATATTACGTCGAAGAAGTTGAGGAGTACTACTGTAGGCATCACTTCGACCTAAACTATGAACCTGAAGATGGCATAAGGCTGGTCTCCCCATACGTTGTCAAATCTAAGGTCGGAGATCTTGGGAGAGGCCTGAAGATATTCTCGGTGTTTATTGAAGATAAGCTTAAAGGAAGGATTAAGGAGCAAAGCAAACAGCTCTATACAAAGCTGGCCGAAAACTTCCAAAAATTAAAGCTAAAGGTTGACGAAGCAGACGCTAATCAGTCAATCTTTAGGTTCACTGAACTCAAATAAGGAAGCTTCACAAATGAAGACTTCAGTAGACAGCGAGTATTTGTTTGATAGCTTTACTACTGATTTCTTTTGGAGTCTCTCTAAAGAAGGTACATATCCTTGATCAAGTTCATTTCAGATGGTAGTGAATAGCACAATATTTACGACTCTGTTTCTAAGTTATCAATCGCCAATTTTTTTGTTTGCGATCTTCTTGTTCTTATTTCGACTTCAGCTCAAGCACCAGATCAAGTATCAGCTCAAGCACCAGCTCAAGCTCAAGCCCCAGCTCAAGCTCCAGTACAAGTTCATGCACAAGCTCCAGTCCGAGGTGTGCCACGAGTCATACCTAACGGACCAATTCCAGCTTCTAAAATTCGTTATGGTATTTTCATACTTTTACTTTATAGTTCCTGGCAGAAGTCAGAGAGAAAAACGAATCCCTTTACAAAAACCTTCAGATAAAAGTAAAAACAGAAGAGGACTGTTAGGACAAGCGCCAGCGAGAAAAGGTAACAAATGCTCACTAGGACGTCTTAATCTTAGTTTCTTTTGCTTTAGCCCAACCTCATTATTAGCTTCAATTTTTGGAACAACAATTTTCTTTGATTAACAAACAAAATCTGCCTAAAATTTTGAGCCTTCTTTGCTCCGTTTCAAAAAATCTCTGAGTTCGGTACAAGTTCCAGAGATGCTGGCACTTAAAGCTAAGCTTGTGTTAGATACATTAGCTATATGCATTCCTGTTCTAACGATTTAGAGGCTTAGCTAAATCTATTTTAGAAGGTTTTGTTTCGGCTAAGTTTTGTTCTAAACAACTTTTTATTGGATACTTTATTTTCTTATTTATAAACAAGTTTTTATCTGATAGTTTGAGCAAGAAAGCAGCTCTATTCCTTCATGACATAAGGTCTTACTAGTCAAAAGTATAGGGTATCTTATCATTCACAAATTTTAGTGCTAAAATTTTGTTTCTTAATTTTACATCTGTCATTATTCATCTTAGCTGTAGTAACCATTATTAGAACTGTTAGTTATTTCAGCCACGAGGAAGGAGGCTTCCTATGTGCGGACACCAATGTTTTATCTATCACTATGGAGAGCTTTTACTTGGCTTTTCATATCTTTTCTGAATAAAAATTACTCAGGTTTTACTTTTCATCGCCTCTTTAGAACAAGTCTGCTGAGTCTTACTATCAGCACAACAGATTCCTGCTCCTATCGCACTTGGATATGAGTTTAGAAGGTTTTACTAATAAAAACCATCGTTTTGATGAAGTGTTGCCTATTAAAATTTTGTTTGTTTGAATCTTTTGAATCGAAATTGGTAATTTCAGATGTCATCTTTTGTTTAAACAAAAGTTGATTTGTGTTGATAGAGATCATAAAGCTTCACCAAAACTTAGCTAGTAGTCCAAGCATTAGCACAATAGCTTTCTTATATGTACAATGATTGTTCTAAATATCTTCAGAACTCTCCAAACCACCTCAACCTAGCCAATCCTCATCCTCCATAGATCCCAGAGAAGAGAACAAGTATGAAGTAAGTTCACTGTTTTACCACATAAAGTTGCCTTCAAGACACAAGCCATCAAAGAGCTCTGCTCTTAGCAAAAGGAGTACCAAAAAGAAGACCAAAGATAGTAAGAGTCTAACTAATCCTAAACTAGATCGCTACAAGTCCTTTGACATCAGCATCCTCTACAAAATTACCACTGGGCAAGACGAACAGTTCAGACCTAAAACTTGACTAGAACTTAAACTTAACAATTCCAATCACATGAAGTTTCTAACATCCCTGAACAAGAGAATGCCAGACATTGAAGGACTTAATCTTGGCAACATCCCTCTGAACTGCCAAGAAGTCAACACTTTCCTGGCCACCCATTTCCCCAACAAAGTGAGCGTGCTCCATTTTAACCATGACTCTCCTCTGAGTAGTTGCCTTCCCTTTTACTTGGAGGAACTGGTGGAAGTGAGTAAGAGAGTCACTGAACACTTGTATATTTATGATTTTGAAGTCTCTCAAGACCAACTCGTCTCCCTCTTCTCCGCTAACAGACATAAACAGAGGTTTGGGTTTCCTTACTGCAAACTCTCCCTGTCTTCTGTTCCTGATTTCGGAGGAACCCTCAATGGAAGTACGATGCAAGTATTGAGTTTGACAAGCTGAGGAGACTCTTCGTATGGCGACTGGGGCAACAATGAGTCGCACTTTGAAAACCTGATTGCTGGGCTTTCCAAAGAGGAGGATTTTAGGAAGAATCTGAAGGAGATTGGAATGGCTTTGTGTGGAATGGAGAAGAATGTTGTGGAGAAGATTTTGGCTGATCATGGCTTTGGACATGTCGAAATTGTCAGGTACTCGAAGTAGATGCCAAAACTGAAACTGTCAAAAAGAAGAGTTTTATTTTTGTCAGTTTTAATCTTGATCGATTATATTGTTGGCAATAAAATAAAATTCAATAAGTCTGACTTACTGTGGGGTTTTGGGGTTTTGGGGTTTTGGGG